TCAGACATCCTGCAGATTTACTGTTTGTCATTATTGTTTATATGGGGAGCATCCAGTTTTTAGAACTGAAGATGAACTAAAGAATCAAAAGGAGATGACCAGGATTAAATAGAAGGAAACAAAGCTGGAGTCTGGAACAGAAAATGAAGCAATGGTGCTTTCAATGGGGTCTTCTGCCAAGTCCACAGCTGGATCTTTAGATATGGCATCAAGAGCCAGGTCAAATGTTACCAATATACTTTTCACCTATAATGTACAAATTGCAATTGTCATACCCCTTAATCTGTGAATTTTAAGTACATCAGCCATGAGAGGTACAGACTCATCAATTTATTTTTTCTTTTCCATGCCTGGAGTATAACATATTATTAAGTGATCTATTTTGATGTGAGTTTGAAATAAGAGTTAGTTACTATCTGAGGCTGTGAAAGTTCTACCTCAGTAAATTCCCAGATAAAGTTTTGGTACAGCAGCCAGCTATGTTACCGTGCTGCAGCTGTTCAGGTTTTATAATCCTTAACTCCCCCCATGGTGTGGTTCACAAGAAAGAAGAAAATATTAAGGACTCTTTGAGTGGGAGCTCCAATCACCCACAAGCAAGGTAAGTGGATCAACACACTGTGCTTCCTTAAATGGTTCCAGACTCACTCTTGTGTGACTCTGTCAACTACAGTCCAGCAGGACAGTTTTGAGGGGACATTTAATCGAACTGCAGCTGTTAGCCTTTTGTCCTGTCCTTTCTCTCCTCAGCAGACCTTTGCAAAACAGAAGAAAAGACTAGTAAAGAGCAAGGCTGCAGTCACACACACTAAATAATCCACTTTCAATCCACTTTCAGTGCACTTTCCAACTGGATTGAAAGTGGATGACTTAGTGTGTGTGACCACAACCTAAGAGTCCAGTAGCACCTTAAAGACTAACAAGATGTATAGCAGGGTATGAGCTTTCATGAGTTACTGCTCACTTTTTCAGACACAACTAGAATGGGAGTCAATCTCTCCTATTTATTGGAAATTGGAGTGATTTCAGATGCTGAATGACATTAGCAGGTGAATAACAATAGCTGGCATGATTGGATTTAGGTGAGATATGCAGAGCGGTGATAGGCATGGAGAAATCAGCATTGGTAATGAGACAGGAAACCTAGGTTTTGATTCAATCCTGGTGGATGCATTGTCTTGAGCTTCATTATCAATTGCAGTTCAGCAATCTCTCTAATCTCCATCTGAAATGTATTTGTAAGAAAACTGCTGCTTTTAGGTCAGCAACTGAATGTCCTGAAAGGTTAAAATGTTCCCCCACTGGTTTCTGAATGTTGTGGTTCCTAATGTCAGACTTATGTCCATTAATTCTTTGTTGAAGGAACTGGCCTGTTTATCCAGTGTAGAGGGAGGAAGGGTGTTGTTGGCATGTGATAATACGTGAATTCACTGCCACAGGAAGTGGTGGGTGCTACAAGCATGGACGGCTTCAAAAGGGAATTAGATAAGCATATGGAGCAGAGGTCCATCAGTGGCTATTAGCCACAAGGTATAGCTAGGGGCTCTGGGGCAAGTGATGCTCTGTCTTCTTGGTGCTTTGGGGGGGGGGTCAACAGTGGGAGGGCTTCTAATGTCCTGGCCCCACTGGTGGACCTCCTGATGGCACTGGTATTTCTGGCCACTGTGTGATACAGAGTGTTGGACTGGATGGGCCTTTGGCCTGATCCAACATTGGCGTCTCTTATGTTCTTATGTTCTTATGACACATGATGACATAAATCACATTAGAGGATAAGCAGGAAGAAAAGAGAGTAGCCTGCTTCTTATAGATGTTGTGGGTATGCCATTAACATATACAAATAGCTCAGTGTAGACTGAGCTCATCAGAGCTGGGGACTAAGCAGGGTTGGCCATAGTTAGTACTTGGATGGGAGACCTCAAAGGAAGACTGGGGTTGCTACTTAGAGGAAGGCAATGGTGTCCATTACCCTAATGGATTAAATGGGTTCATTCACACATCCACATTTGGCAGCCGTTCCCCTGTCATACTCTCTGTGTCTTATGACAAGTTGGATACAGAGTAAATAGCCATCAGAGACAACCAGGTGCTTACGGATCTCTGTGCACTGATTACATGCTTCTGGATGTCTGGATGGCCACGGTGCACACTCAAACCAGTTTGGAACTGTGAACCTTTAGTTCTAGTTTTGCCATATTTTGTTTTAAAATAGTAGAGCATATATACATGTGCACACATGTGCACCCAAGAAATAGTCTCAAAAAACGATCAAAATTGCTGTTTTCTACCTACAAATAACAAGGAAAAATATAAATAAATAAAACAAATAAATAATAAACAATAAAATAATAAAAATAACAAAATACTCAAAAACCAAGTTAAAATAATTTTAAATAATTGAAATTAATACTTAAAAGTTTAGAGAGAGTAAAAATAGTAGTGGGAAATAAAAAATAACAATACACAATTATGAGTGGGCAACTGGCAAATGCGCCACTGACGAATGTGCTGCCGGAGTACATCTCGGCCCACATGAAACATTGACTGGTTATTCTCTTTGTTTGCTTATTGCATGCCACCATCATTTTCACTAGTACTGTTAGCCACTTAGGCTTTGTTTGTATATTCCATTGCATTTTAATGTGTTTATTGTTTTAGTGTTTTAATGTTGTTAGCCGCCTTGAAGCAGGGACAGAAAGGGCAAAAAACTGAACATTAACACTAAATTTCAGAACCTAACAAAGGTTAGTAAAATGTGAAGAAGAGGGCCAATATTAAAAACTAAATGTAAAAGATATATAGAAAAGGCTACATGTATTTAAATACAAATTTAAAACATATATAAGGGCCCATTCACATCAAATATATAAATAACATAGCAATACACATGGGCTTTAAAAACCTGACCTGACGCGTTTCAGCCTGCATAGGCCTATTTTGTTCTAGACAAGTTTTTGTTCTAGATAAGTTAACAAATAACTTTAAATCTGCAGAACGTAGTGAGTATCGTTCGATGTTTACAGAACAATGGTTCCCTATTTTATCATATCTATCCAATAATGATATAAGAATAACTCCGTTATATATTCAGAAGTTGTTAATCTTCTAAGTTTAGTTATCCTTTGAAGCAAATTTAAAACTCTAAATATTGATGAATGCTTGTTGTTATGTTGAATGGTTTTTCTTGTCTCCCTGAGGAGGGATCTTATAGTATTTAATTGATTATTTACTAGAGAAAAGGGAGGGGAGAGTCACAAGGGTGTCAGTGTATGAATAATTTCTTAACATATTTATTGGAGACTGTTGGACACTGAGCATTTTGTTTGTTATGGTTATAAATAGTTATTTTTTTAAAAAAAATGTTTTTTTTAAATATGTTTAAAAAAAACACACAACACCACCAGATCTCTCGCTTTGTGGTTGACGTGCAGCACAAATCTGAATGGTCAACCATGGAAGAAGTGCACAGTGAGACCAGATCAGGTTGGGTAATAGAAAATCACCATAAAAAATTGTGACAGAGTAATTAGTGACATGCCCAAACCACACCAACCTGCCAGTCTGACTGTAGCCCATATGTGTGAAGCTCTGCCATTCTAGACTGCATATATGGAGACTCATAAGCATGGGGGCATTTGTACTTCTGGAAAGATCAACCACATCTAATCTGGTTTTGGGACGACTGCCTATTTGACCTCTCATTTTGCTGAAACTTTTACTTGAATATAATTCCATAAAATGATATGCTTGGGATTTGGAGTACAATTTTATACACCATTTATTTCCTGATTAGAACAGTTTATTTCATGACTAGAACCCATCTCTTTTGCTTGAATTTGTGGGTTGAACATGAGTGGGTAATGCAAACTCTATTAGTAATGAGTTTATAGACACTGTATGTATGTATAGTAGGATTGTCAACTATCGGTTTGGAAATTTCTAGTTATCTGGGGGGGTGAGCCTGGGGAGGGCAGGTTTTGGGGAGAGGAGGAACCTTAAAAGGGACAATACCTCAGAGTCCATTTTCTCCAGAGGAACTGATCTCTGTAGTCTGCAGATCAGTTGTAACTCAAGGAGATCTCCAAATACCACCAACTGGATGTTAGTAAACCTAAATTGTGTGTATGCAAACTCATGCACATGCACACACACACACACATTACGAAGACGTACTAAATCTTTCTATAAAACATATGTTAGTAATATTTGACCCATCATTTGTAGTCATTGAATAAATGAGCTTTCTGTTGTCATCAAAGTTCACTGTGTCTGCACTCCCTTAAAAGCTCCTAACTCCAGCATAACACTGGCAGTAGGAGAGCTGTATCTCTGGTGCTGAAGAGATTAGAAGGTTACAGGGCCATTTCCTGAATCTGGTCTACTGTGTGGTCAGGTCAATGTAAATTAAGCCTTTGTACATTACAAAGGGACATTACCTAGTGTCTATTTTGCAATAATAACAGTTGAGGAACTTTAAGTTGCAGTTCATATCCAAAACCTACACCTGGGTATTATTCTTCGTACTTTTAAGAATATCACTGTGCTGTTTGTAATTCACAATCCCTGGTCTCTGGGATATTTAGGACCTACAAAATTAACTCAGGAACTCCTAATGTCCTATTCTGGGTCCCGTTGAAATTCTGAGTAAAGCTGTGTGGCAAATGAGGATTCCCAAAAAAGTTAGATAAATGTTATAAATGTTAGTTTTAAGATGTCCTGTGACTTCCAATTTTTCCATTTTCAAAGAAGCTGGGGAAGGGGGTAATGCATTCTGGCTATGTGTCACAGTGAGATAGATAGATAGATAGATAGATAGATAGATAGATAGATAGATAGATAGATAGATAGATAGATAGATAGAGAGGGAGTTTCTAGTATTTGTGTTCATTTTGGAAGGTAAAAAGATGTGCAGACCTCATTTGTAAATGTGGAGTATATGTAAAAATTACATCTTTTAAAATATTCATTTAGGTATCTTAAGCTTTTTTTTTCTTTTGCAGTAAATGAAGGAGGTATTAAACAGGCATCCAATTTGTGTCCTGATCCTGGAGAACCTGAGAATGGAAAACGGATAGGCTCAGATTTTAGGTAACATTCACAACACTGGAAATACTTTTTAAATTAACTGTAACATTTATAAGGACTCATCTAGCAGATCCCCCTAAACATATGGAGAGTCACGATGAGAATGTCCTTGGTAGATGTCAGTACACAGGCTGTCCATGTATTTGGATAATCTACATGGAAAGATTCCTGCAAATGTTGCCACTCATCAAGCAGATATAAATAAAAATAATTTCAGAAATTTCCTACATGACAATCCACCCTCTAAGCTCACTTCGCTGATAAAGAGATGGAAATCCAGCAGAGCTATCCTAAGCAGAGTTCCACCTTTCTAAGTTCACTGAAGAAAATGTGCTTATATAAGTATAACTCTGCTTAGGATGGCACAGCACATTTAGTTTGGCATAAACCCCCCTTCTACAACAACTGTTAGAATAAGAGAGAAACATGTGGGTCAAATCATTTAGGTTTTAATTCATTATTCCTCAGAAACAATTATTGGGAGACATTTTAGGCTTCTTTGAGCACATTAATTAAGTTTAATTGCCATTATCCCTTAATAATTTCTAACATTTACTCCTCGACACTGAAATGAATATTAACTTCTCTGCCTCATCAGAAGCATTCAAAGTTGCTGTTCAGCAGTCTCCTCTTCTCTTCTATTGTAAATACAAAGGGAAGTATTTATATTTACCAAGAATGTTGCAGTAATCCATCAGGTTCTGTTTCTGATACAGATTTTGTAGTTTTGCTGGTACAGACAATTATCCTGAACCTGCCCTCTGTTCAGTTGTATCTGATTTATTTTCCGCTAGGGAGGATAAAATGCATGATTGAGTACTGGTTGTGCAAACTCTTGCACAAACCAGTTTTGTTTTAAAGCATAGAAATATTTATCCAATTTACCTTTATCCAATCTTTGTCAGCAGTTCCTAAACACAGGAGTACCCAAGACACTCCATGAAATTCCCGTGGATATCCAAGACTTTGGGCAGAAAACTGGAGCACTGCATGTAAACACAAGGATAGGTTTCTGGCCACACATCCCTAGTGTTTACAGTACAAGCATCTACATTAAAGCCACTATAGGAATAAGACTCATGCTGACTATTCCACATGAATGCATTTGAGTTCATCTGTGGTAACTGATGCAAACAATTTAATATAAATATTTCTAGAACTCTTTGAAGTTTGGTATTATGTATCTATTAATTGTTTCTTCTCCCCCTTTTTGATGTCTTTAATTTTAGCCTGGACTCAACAGTACAGTTTTCTTGTGATGAAGACTATGTACTACAGGGTGCAAAAAGTATCACCTGTCAGAGAATAGCAGAGGTTTTTGCTGCTTGGAGTGATCATAGGCCAGTGTGCAAAGGTAAAAAAAAAATATCTATCATCCATCCATCCATCCATCCATCCATCCATCCATCCATCATCAATCTGTGTATGTGTGTGTGCATTGCCATTTTGCAGTATTTCTTGGTTCTCCTATTTCATTTTGAAATAATGATGGCATCTGGGAGTATTGTCCAAATGAAATCTGTAGATTTTTTTTTGCTGCTTCTTCTTCTGACTGCTTTATATTGTTTTGCTAGCAATGTTGGTTCACTGAATTTATCTATAACATCCACATATCTGAGATTATGACGATGATGATGATGGTGATGAGCTTCATTTACAGTCTGCCCTTCTCATGAGACTCATGGCAGATTACAGATACAATGAGAACCATTCAGTTAGTCAGGAAACTACTTGTAAACAATTTGAATCTAACAGCAAAGATTTCTCCTAGTAATGCTGAAAAATGCTGTGGTGTTTTAGCATATTACGGGTATGAGAAAAACTATTTTGTGAACAGAGTATAACATATGATAAAACAATTCAGGCTAGTTCATGTCTTCATATGCTAAGGTGATTACCTTTTGTTGTTGTTGTTGTTGGTATTTAAAGAGATTAGGGCTCTTTAGCTTGGAGAAATGATGACTGAGGGGTTACATGACAGAGGTTTCCAGAATTATGCATGTGATAGAGAAGGTCGAGAAAGAAGTACTTTTCTCCCTTTCTCACAATACAAGAAGTTGTGGGCACTCAATGAAATTAATGAGCAGTAAGCTTAGTAGAGATAAAAGGAAGTACTTCTTCACCCAAAGAGTAATTAACACATAGAATTCACTGCTGCAAGAAGTGGTGGTGGCTACAGGCATAGACAACTTCAAGAGGGGATTTGATAAACATATGGAGCAGAGGTCCATCAGTGGCTATTAGCCTCAAGGTGTAGATGGAACACTATGTCTGGGGCAGTGATGCTCTGTATTCTTGGTGCTTGGGGGTGGCAACTGTGGGAGGGCTTCTGGAGTTCTAGCCCTGCTGGTGGACCTCTTGATGGCACCTGGATGTGCTGATCCAACATCACCTGGTAAATAAATTCCATGAAGCCTTTGTTAAAGGGACATGACTCCCCCTGCCGCCAAGCAGTTGACAACCTTACTTTATGCAGGCATGAGGAGAAAGTATTGCCACAAACATGTACCTGTCAAACACAAGCTTTAAACAAGTTCTTCTTCATAGATCATCATCACCTGTTATGATTTCTTTAACCCTATGGACTAGAATTGAAGAAAGAAAGAAAAAAGAGGTATCTTAACTTTGCATGATAGTGGGTTGAGTTCTGTTTGGTAGGTCACAAGCTGTGGAGGCTTATTTAAAATATATTGTGGGCTTGGATGTTTTCAATACCTGTTAATTTCCAAGTTGATTTGCTTCAGCTGCACATGCACTAAAATTGCAGCAGTACAGAAATGGGATTCAGGCCCCGGTCACACGGGCCAGATAGTTACGGTGGGGAGGCATGGCTGTTAGCCCCGGAGCAAAATAAAGCATGGTAGCCCGATCACACGGTCTCCTGAGTCTTTGCACTTAGGCTGTTAGCTGGCGATCACACGGCGATGTTGGAGTGTGGCAAAAAAGCGGCACAGTTCCGCATGCACAGTTCCGCAGAGCAGCACTGCTTTCAGTTACGTGTTTGTGCACATGCACTTACGAAAAACATCTGGTTTGTGATGGGATGTGGATGGGTGCCGGATGCCACGGGATACTAGCTTTCCCACGATCAGATGCCCACCCCTGCCCTGCGTTTTCCAAATACTAGTGCACTTTCTGAGGTACTTTTTTACTGTGCATCTTCGGCGGGACGCCACGGGTGTGCTACGCTTCTCAGATGTTGAGGTGTGATTGCGCACCAAAAATCCACATGACATTCGTGCCTTTAGCGCAGCAAATCCTCCGTGTGACCGGAGCTTCAATTGACTTTTCTGCTGGTGGAAGAAAAAAAAAAGGAAGGAAGGAAGGAAGGAAGGAAGGAAGGAAGGAAGGAAGGAAGGAAGGAAGGAAGGAAGGAGGGAAGGAAGGAAGGGGTCATCTGACCACCAAGAAGGATATACTGGTGATGGGACTTACATGAACAAAATCTGTGCAGGACAGGGGCTATAGTGGGGGGCACTGTGTAAGACTGAGTGAAAAAAACTGGCTGTATCCAACCCAAGGTTTACATGGTCCCTACGAAGGGATGACTTGCACATTCATAAAGCATTCCATATTTTGGGAAGGACTAATAAGTTAGTAGTAGAGCACATATTTTCTATATGGACAGTTCTATCCTTAGCATCTCTAGGTATAAAGATTTGGGGTAGTGGGGCATGAAACGGTCTTAGTTTAGCCCTTGAGGAGCTGCAGAGTAGATAATACTCAGCTTGATAAACACCATTCTGTCTCAGTAACTGGCTATTTTGTATATCTGGCCTTGGACACAGAAAGACAATGATCACCAGCAGTCAATTGATCTGCCTTGGTTCACAGTCTTGGCAAGATGAACACCTTCCCCTTCTCACTCTGCTGTTGATACCTCCTGGCCAAGGACATTCTACCCATGCCAAAGCATTGGACTCAATGCCATTAAAAAAAAGTATTTCCAAATGTATTGCTCTCAGGGCCTTTTTTTTTTTTCAACAAGCTACTCTTCCAGCTGCTTCTTTTGACATACTGAGGCTGAAGAAGAAGAACAATGGTAGTATAGGCTGGTAACACATGGCCTGAGAAATGGTGCAATGGCTATTTACAGCATCAAGGAGGGAAAGCCATCCCAAGCCTACCATGAGCACAGTGGCCCCAGAGGAGGCTTGTGGGAAGGGCAGGATATAAATCTAAATAAATAAACAATGAAGGAGCTGCTCTGACTGTTGACCTACTTTTAAGCCCAATCCCATCCCCAAAGTGTCTCTTCTGGTCAGCAGTGTTCCCTCTAAGCTGAGTTAGTGTGAGCTAACTAACAACTTTTTAGCCTCCGGCTCACACATTTTTGCCTTAGCTCAGGAAGGATAGCTCCAGAGCAAACTAATTTATGCAGCAGCCAAATCGCTCACTCACAACTTTGATGCCAGTAGCTCACAAAGTAGCATTTTTGCTCACAAGGCTCCACAGCTTAGAGGGAGCATTGCTGCTCAGCCATGTGTATCTGCTGGCAAGGAAACAAAAGGAGCAATAGCCAATGCAACTGTACCAGTCTGTAGGTGGAAACTTGACCAGACAACCAGAAAGTTACTCAGTTGCTGGGAGAAGGGTGTTTTGTTTTTAAGGGGAACACTTATCTCAACAACCTAGTTGTAATGCCATTCACATGAAGTAAAATCAGGGCTATTTTTGGGCAGGAACGCACAGGAACGGAGTTCCGGCTGGCTTCAGAGCTGGCCACGCCCACTACAGCCAAAACCTCTGCATGCGTGGCTACAGAGGGAAGGCCTGAAGAGTGACCCCCCGACGACTCCGAGGTGGGCGGGCCAGGGGGCCCCCTGGAAGGATCGGGGAGGCATTTAAATGCCTCCCCATGCCTTCCGCAGCCTGTCCAAGGGCCAGCTTGCCCAGGCAAGCCAAGGGAAGCCACGGGGGGGTGGCCTAGCATGCTAATGAGATGCACTGTCAGGGGTGTGGCCTAATATGCTAATGAGTTTTGGCTGTTGGGTGTGGCCTATTATGCTAATGAGTTCCGGCTGGGCTTTTTCTACAAAAGAAGCCCTGAGTAAAATTATACTTGTTTGCATACCCTCCATGAGCATCTCCTGCTTACTCTGATGGTGGTGGAAAGTGCTGTCAAGTTACACCCAACTTATGGCGACCCCCTAGGGTTTACAAGGCAGGAGACAAACAGAGGTGGTTTGCCATTGTCTGCCTTTGCATAACAACCCTAGACTTTCTTGGTGGTCTCCCATCCAAGTACTAATCAAGGCCAACCCTGCTTAGCCTCCATGATCTGGCTATCCAGGGCTATCCAGATAATGGTGCCTTCCATCTGCAACAGCTCCAGTAAAGTATAGAAATTTCAATTGTGGTTCACAAAGTTATGATTAAAGTCCATAGAAATCCATATTTGATAAAGAACACTTGGGCACCTTTCTGTGTGGCTTTATTTATAGACCATTTTTAAAGATTGCTGTCTATTTTTTTTACTTTAGTATACAATAATGAAGGATTCACTAAACTTCCCATCAGTTAATAAGATAATATATTACTTGATAAAAGTCCATTCCATTTTTAGCCTTTCTGTCTCTTGGACACCGATAATACCAGCCTTTCCACTGCCATTTTATCTGAGCCAAAATTCATTATGACTTCCTGGTATCATCCTCATCTCTTCAAGCCAAGTTCTGGCAGCTTTGAAAGTTGTAACCAATCCACAGCTCTGTTAGCATTCCAACTTCTTCTGAGTTTCTAATTTTTTAAAGCAATTCTGGCATGAAGCTCTTACGGTAATTAAACCTCCAGGTAAGTTACTTCTTTGCTTTAGGCTCATGTATTTAGCTTAGTGGCATGCTGGTGGATATTGCCAACACTAAAAGTCATCCAACCACCTGGCATTGGGTGGTATAGGCTATATACAATGCAGTCAAACACTTTCACAGAAGGACTCCCAGATCAGTTAACTTTGTAGGTTAATTGTCAAGAATGTAACAGAGGTTGCCTGCATCCCATTGCCTGGGAGACAGCATTTCTCCCAGTCAACTTTAGCCCTGGGACCATTCAGAAGAGCTGCTTTGGCCAATTACACTGTCTTTCTTGGAGGGCAGGGAAAATTTAAGCAGCAGCCATTAGGCGTATGAGCTGTTTTGTACCATGTCTATGCTGCGCTGCTCCTTGTGTCCTGGGAGAGATGCTTTGCTTAGCTGGTCAAATCCTGCCTAGACTCTGCTGGACTGTTTTCTCAACAAACTGGTTTCATTCATTTCAATTGCTGATTCATTACTACTAGCTAGCCTTTCTTATTACCTTTTTTCCGGGGGGAGGGTAGTAAAGACAGGTGGCATTTGATCTCTGGGGTAGAGTAGT